CCTTTTAATCACTAGCCCGCTCTCCACCAGCTGGTTAGCTTTCTCCGTGCAGTCTAAAAAAATAACCACTGCACTGTTCATGCGGAAGGCAGATTTAACTCTGCCATATCCCACCACAGCCCCCACTGCCAGACCACACTCCTCCACCGAGACACCGACAGGTGGGGAGAGCTTGATGGCGTGTTGGCGAGTCAGCTTCTCTAAACAAGCGCAGCTGCCACGGAACGCCATGCCGGGCGGCGTGACTGCAGCTGCAGCCGCTAGACAAACAATTAGACAAACAATTCACCAGTGCAACCAAACAACACCACCAAAAAACACCAAAGTCGGTGAAATGATGCACAAAGACATAAACTATCACCCAGAGAAAAGTGAATTGTTAACAATGGTTTGAAAAGTTGTAAACTTTAAACGAGAGAGAGAGAGAGAGAGAGAGAGAGAGAGAGAGAGAGAGAGAGAGAGAGAGAGAGAGAGAGAGAGAGAGAGAGAGAGAGAGAGAGAGAGATAAACTGGCCTTATTCATCAGAATTTCGTATGACTGGACTTGCTTGACTCTCACCACAGTAACTTGGGACTTGCTTGATACTTGCACATGTAGGACTTACTCCCACCTCTGCAAAGTACCATGGAAAAACATCCAAAAGTAGTTGTAACATATCAGTCTTTATCAAATCTGAATCAGAAAAGAGTATGCAAACTAATGAAATATAGAAAAATAAAAGCACACATTAGTAAAATAATAAAATTGAAGACAAATAATTACGTACTGTAACCATGGCTAAAAAGTAGCAGCTATTCAAAAAACAAGTGACATATTAAGGTGTGAGGACATGAATAAAAATGTTGGGACGTTTACAAAAATATCTGTTTTTACATAACAGTGATTCTTGCACTGTACAATTGCAAAAAGGTAAACCAACAGCGAGACGGACCAATCTTGCAATCCCGGGGACAGTAAATAAGCATAAAAAGTTGATCAATACTCTTAGAGAGTGCAGTCAAGCCAAATGCTCTTTCTCTCGGTGTAAACAAAATATAAAAAATAATGTGCGTATTCCCATGCAATTCAGATACACTACAAAATGTCATTGGGTCTTATTGGCCTGCTCTTCACCCTTCCAGCAAGTTTAATAATTGGGTCAGTAGTTTTTCACAATCCAACAAACATGGCAGAGGAAATCAATCTAAACATACTGAATGCATTCTGCAACAGCTTTTTATTTTCATTCCATGTTCAACCACCAGGAGAGGACCTGTTCCAGATTAGAGGTCAGAATGGTTTGTTGCACACCTGCATGGATCCTCTCCCAGAGGTTTCTGGGAAACAGGAAGTGAGCGACACGGCAGATCATGTGCTGGAAACGTTCTATCCTGTCTCTCCCACCATCAACCTGCAGAAGGTGAACGTGTACAAGGAGGAGATTAACTGCTCAGGTGAGGAACATGTTACAGAACATTAGTGAGCTGTTTTTCGGTTTTCCCTGAGACTGAGTATAGCATAAGGAGTGTCACCTAATAAAACTACCTCTCTGTTATCCTATCAGGCTTCAGGGATGACTACCCGTACCCCCATGCCCACACACTTTTCTTTCTGGAGGGAGCTGATGCTAACTGTAAGCTGCGTCCGGATCAGTTCAGAGCCAAGATGTTGATGTTTACCTTTGGCAACGCTCTGGTCCGTGCACAGAAACTGTATGGGGTAAGGATTTACACTTTATCACTTTTACTACAATGTCATGAAGTGGTGCAGTGTATTTTTGTAGTCCAACCCTGAAGTTAAGATCGTAGGCAAAAAGCAATGGGATATCTTTTTGAAATATTGCAGAAATTAAGCTTTTTTGAAAACAACCTTTTATGATACTTACACATTTTGCTCGATAATCTTCACATATTAACACCGCTTTGTGATGTTTGAAATGTAAAAGGCAATCTCCAGAAGTAAGAAGCTAACGTTAGGCTATAAACAAACTACATCATGGTCACATGTCTTCATGTCCCCACCGCTAAGCTAAAGGAGGCTAATGTTCATCATGATGACGTTTAATAGTCTCATTTAATCACTTTTTATCAACGGCTGTTAATATGAACTATAGAAGCTTCAGACATTAACTAGGGGTATTACTGATGTGTTATATGTCGTAGAACCAAACATGAAAATCTCTTCCGCCTATGTTAACCACAGACCTTACATAAAGCAGTTAACCAAAATATATATAAAGCATATTTCCGGGTTTTTCAAAATGTCCCCGCTGCGAGACGAATAAAGTATATTTGATATAGGATTAAGTAGTCATTCCTTCATCACTGTATTACATAAAAGCAAATATGTAGAAATGGTCTGTGTCTATATGTAGAAAGGTTTCCTGTTTAACCAGATGCTGATCCGCATTCTCAAACTCTATATTTATCATTATGTCTCTTTTTCTCTGCCTGTGTGTGCGTGTGTGTGTGTGTGTGTGTGTTTTGTGTTGTGTGTGTGTGTGTGTCAGCCCCAGCGTGTATTAGATCGTCCGGTAACCGTACAGGCAGTGGGGACCAACGGCAGAATCTTCCAGTTTATGGTTTTCCAGCTCAACACCACGGATCTCTCTGGAGACGACGGCATCAAGAACCAGGTGCTCCATTAACAATAAATCAAAATCATTGTGATGTATTACTGTATATCAGGGGGGTCCAAACAATTTTCACTGAGGGCCACATACAGAAAAATATACAAAAGGATGGGCTGCTCGCTTGGGGTGATGTATATTGCCTCATATGTTAAGTTAAGTTATAGGTTAGCAAAATCAATCAAATGTAGGTAAATGATGCTCCAAACTTTAATATACTTTTGGAAAAAAACAGCCTACATCCCAGCTCTCCATAGGTTTTCATTTATTTTCTTACAAAAGTGTTAACAGCTCGTTCCTTAAAACAGAAGCCTCAGATT